TTAAGTTTCAGGTCCAGTCAGTCAGTTCAGTGTAATCAGTTAAGTTATCAGTTCAGTATTTTCAGTCTAGTCAGTTCAGTTCAGTATTTCAGTTGAAATTTCAGTTCAGTCAGTTCAGTCATGATCAATCAGTTCAGTCATGATCAGTGATGTGCAGTCAGTTCAGTTAAGTTTAGCAGTACTAATTCAGTCCAGTCCTTCTTATCAGTTAAGTTAGACCCCGAGATGGTTTCAGTTAACTATTCAGACCGAGTCGAGCATCTTAACAACTATTTTAATCAATCTGAGCATAGTACTTAGTAATTGTTTATATATGTCGCAGTTTTGCAGGCAATCAGCACTTACATTTTCATATCAACAGTTCAGGTGGGGACTCAGACTAAGTACTACATTGATTATAATTACACTACCATGTTTGAGGTATGTATTATCAGTATCCGCTTGGAATGGTCGCGGGTCCATTCTGGGTTCTAGTGGCCTTAATCTGCCCACTAGAGTGTGCACATGGTGTCCGGCTTATGCTGGCAAATGTTCAGTTATCAGTCAGGTGATGTATATCACGAGATCAGTATCAGATTATTTTTAGTACCGGTATCAGATATCAGTTTCAGTTTCAGTTCAGTTATATATGCCAGGATCATGATATTGCAATTATTTTCACTGTTTACTTTAGTGTGAGTTTCTGCGGAGCACAGTGTATTAGTGCTCACGCCCCCACGTTATTCATGTTTTTCAGGTCACAGAGTCGGAGACGAGGAGTGAGCGGGCGACCGGTTCAGGACATTTGTTTATATGTATATATTATGTGTGGCTACACTATGACTCCGCTACTGTTTTCAGTACTCTAAATCAGTTTTTGACCCGACGTTAGTCGGTTAATATATTATATAACCGTTTTATTATTAAACTAAAAAAATTAAACGATTTTCAAAACAAGTCAGATTTTACGGTAGCACCCCGAATCAGATTTCGCAAAAGAAATATTTTATTTATTTTATTTAGACAATTTGCGAAAAAGCGCACTCTGAAATTCATGAAATAGCGGGGTGTTACAAGCGCTCTGACCTGCGGCACTCTCGACCACGCGGAATTTTCCGCGAGCGCGCGACATTGGCATGCGGGCGTGTGGATGCTCTCGAGGTCGCGGCCATTTCCGTCGGCTCGACAATGCAAGTGATAGGCGCGAGTGAGGCATGCGTGTGCGGGTTCTCTCGACCTCGCCGGGCCTTCCGCGAGCGCGCGAGCCGTGCTGCGGGTAATGGCCCATCCGTGAGCTTCGACTAAGGCAAATGGCTCGACACATCTCGGAAATGACTCGAAATCCTTCGGCACGCTCGTTTCTGAAATTGGCTCGACTCTTTCCTTTCGTCCTCGGAACAAACCTAAAAATTGAACCAAAACACGGAAAAGTACGCCAAATACAAAATGAAACGAGAAACACAAAAAGTACGCCAAAATACAAAATGAAACGAGAAACACAAAAACACCTGGAAAACGATAAAATGGATCGGTTGACTCTAAAACGAAACTAGAAATGACTCGAACACACATATAAACACATAAAAATAAGCACAAAAACATAACAAACAGCCGCCCTTCGGCCGCTTTCCTATTCCTTGGCGAGCGAGGCATCGCGCGCTTTCGCGCGCGCCCAGTCTCCGCCGCTTTCACTCTGCGCGTGCGCCCACAGCAATCCTAAACCTACGAGGCTTGGGCCTCCACTCGCGTTCGTGTCGTCTGCCTCGCCTAATCCTTCCCAGTGTAGGCCTCTGTCCGCGTCGCCCCACTCGCGCGCCATCGCGCACGCCCTTCCCTCGTCGATCTCCTCGCGCGCATTGTGTCGTGCGCCTGCCAATCCTAGGCCTACAAGGCCTAGGCCCGCGTGCTGCTCACTTGCGCGCCCTTCGCGCCTCGCCTGTTCTCCGCGTGACACCCGCGCGTCCTGGCTACCGCCCGCGCTCCAGTCCTCTACCGCGCATCCTCGTACATCCTCTGCACTGCGCGTACCACCAGTCCCCGTGGCCTGCTCGCCCGTCATGCACCCGCGTGCACCCAGCTCCGTCCAACCGCGCGCATCATGGG